GAATCCAGAAGAGCCATTTTGCTTAAATGGCATGACCAAAACAAAAGTCCATGGACAAATGGCTTGTACTTCAGGCATCGTATCATTATGACAAACATGTCCTGCTTTTGCCTAATACTGCCACATGGCACTGCGTTAGATAGCTGTGTCAGATGGTGTGCTTTGCTGTGTACACAGCAGTATTGGTTTAGGTGAATGGTGGATACCATCAGCCCTGGTATTTCTTGTGCCTCTTGCAGCCATGGTGAAGCTGCTAAATGCTGGCTGTATGAATGTGACAGGGACGTTTGGGTAAAAATCTATATCCAGTCTCCCTGTCGGAGATTCCTGAGTGAAAAGCACACTGTTAATTTACCAGCTAGAGATCAAGCCAAAGTTTTAGATCACTTCTGGTTTTATTGTGACTTGATTGCTCACCTGTAGTAACCAGCCTGTCTGAGAACAAGAGTGTATGCCAGTTCCCTGGGCTATTCTGTATTAAAAAAGAAAAAAGACTATGGTATAACTTTAGACTTAATCATCATTTATCCTACCCTGAAGGCATAGAAATTAATGATGATATAGATCTGCGTGGCTTTGTGTTCCCCTTGACTGAACATTAGAAATAATTAGGGCTTGTGGGATGGATGCACTGATGGTGGAGATGAGCAGAAAACATTTGCTGCTGTGTGTATGTGCCTCTTCCAAGTTTGCTGGCAAAGATACAGGTTACGTGTGTGCTTATGGGCTCTGAGGTTTCTTGCTTGTTTGTTGAGACATAGCTAGCTAGTGCTGAGGAAGAAGAAAGTGGGAATAAGTGAGATTTGTTGTTTTGGAGGCTTTTAAGATTGTGAGCCAAGCAGAGTTGCTAGCGACTTCTGGAGAGATTTCTTCAGTGTAAGCATTCCTGCACTGAGTCCTGTTGGGTACAGCTCCGAGTTATGACTGTGGAGTATCTACAGCACTGGGACTGCCCCAGGAGTCCTAAGCTATACAGAAGCTGGCACTAGACCTCTTGTAGTATGGAAGCCTCAAGTATGTAATTGGAGGCTTTCCTGAATTACCTCCTTCAGTGACCTGAATGTTTGGATCAGTTGGTTATTACCCGTACCCAAATGCGTGCTGATGGTCATCACAAGTTGGATGGGGACAAAGTGGTTTTGATGCTCTGGATAAAACCTCTGGTCTCTTTCTTGCTGTGGCTTAAATGAAAGCCAGTTTCAGGGGTTTTTATTTGGGTGCATAAAAGCTCCATCTCTTCTCAAGCAACCATGCAATAAATTATGGAAGCGTCTTTTTGGGATGGTGGCAGCCCTTCTATAAAGTCTCTGCTAGAATGGTTTCCTCTGTATTGAAGGTACTTATTTTAGCTGCTGTGTTCCCACTGTTTCTTCCCCAACCTGACCAATATACATTATTTATTTATTTTTTTTATGATCCCTATTTCAGCAAGAATGTTGCTTGTGCTAGGCTGGAAAGTGGTGGGAAGAGAGTTTGTGCCGAGCCTGTATGGACTTGTGTAGTGGGACTGTGTGCTGGTGGCTTCTCTGGCAGGACAGGATGGAAAGGCTGCCTGTGTGTCCCGAAAGTGTTGGTAGCACCATCACCCTGTGTGGAGTGCTCTTGCAGCTGGGTTATTAAAGGAGACATGCCTTCGGAGAGGGGATGCCGAGACTCTAGCCTGATTCAAGGCTGAATCAAGGCGGAATTGGGGCTTGGCTATGGTGCAAGTAAAGGACAGATGTGCTGGCAATGACTGGGTAGGGTACTGATGGAGAAGATGCAGATACCTTGTATCTAGATGAAACAGTGAAATTTGTGTTTACATCAGAATTTTGGGCGTTCTCACAGCATAAATGCACATGGTCCTTTCAGGCAATTTAGAATAACTACTGGCTAAATATATTCCTGGCAGATCACTGTAGTGTGGTATTTTAGAAGATACACTGTGAAAGCAGTCCTGGGCAGAAGCATATGGAACAGGCTTAGCCCCCTCCTCCCCCGAATTGTGTGGGCTGTGCTAGGAGCCCCTCCATTGCAGAGTAGCCCGAGCACAGGGGGAGCATAAAGTCACTTGTTGCTTTTTGTCTTTCTGGTATGTGAATTTTGGGTTACTGTGCCACACCTGTCAAAAGGTGTATCCAGTCCTCTCCTTTTTATTTTTATTCTATGCATAATTCTACTACAATAAGGGAGGAATCGAGTCTTTTCTAACTGAAGATTCAGTATTCAGTTCTGCTGGCTGACTCACCGGTAGGAAGATTCTCACTGACTTGCGTTAGAACTGAATGGGTTGTATTATCTTTTCACATGCAGAAAATTATTTTGAAATTGAAGTTAATAACTGCTATTTTGAAATTGTCATTGATAGCAAGATAATATAATATTTAGTTGTATCTTGTTATTTTTATGATCTGATGCCTGAATAAAACATTTTTTCTTCCTTTTTTTTTTAATTAGCATGTTATGAAGAAGTTTGTGGCATCAAACACACCATCTAATTACATTCATTAGTAGCATCTCCAAGACAAGTTTTAATTAAATTGTACAATGTAGATCAATACTTGTTTTGAATGCACTTCAACTTACGACAGGAATATAGTTTTCTGTGCGGTTTAATTACAGTGACTGTAATAGAAAGAATTTGAGTAAACCTGCCAGTTTGGCAGTCACACTCCTGTCTCTTGCTTTTTAAAATAACATGTCCTGTATTATAACTGTATGCTGCTTATGTATGTCCTATGGTGAAGAATATATTAAGATAATTTTTTTTATCCTATTGAAAAGAAGTTGCAGTGTGGTTCAGGAGCACTTGGATACTAGTGCTTGACTTCAACTGGAATGGGAGAAATTAATGTTCATTTTTCCTCAAGACTTTGGGAGGGGAAAGGCTGCCCAGTGATGGCTGACACATCTAGTGGTAGATAATAGGAATGCTTTTATTTTGCCTGGGCTATGAGGTGGAAAGCCACCTAATTGTATGTTTACTTACTGTGAATATAGTTCATTATGGTCTCCAAGTATTTCTTCCACCAAATGTCCTGTAGATTGGTAATGTTGCCAGCTCTTAACTGTTTTCTGTTTTGGCAGGAGAAAGCATTCCAGGCATGAAAACCCTGAGCTACCAAATGTTTTTGCTCAACTTAATGAAAATGTACTTGGCTAGGTAGAACATCTATATACCTTATGGTAGTGTCCTGTAATAATACTTGCATACGTTGTGAGAATGTCTGGATAGAGAACTCTTTAAGATAGATATTTGATGCCAGAGCTGAGAACTGTTTGTTTCTCTGCCTGAGTGTTATATTTTTGTGTATTGGGCTGGTTTTGTGTACAAGGGATTATAGCAGTCAGCCTTCAGTATGGGTACAATAATGAAGACCAAACTGACTCGCAGAACTTTGTTGTGTTTTTTCTTTCCTTTTTTTTTTTTTTTAAACCCAACCTATTGTTTAATAATTCTAAAATTTTATGTTTAGTATTATGTTATTTATATTATTTAATATTATATTTAAGATTTTTAAAGGAACATACATTTTAGTATAGGTATATCTGGGTTTTCTTACTGTTTCTCTGGAAAGAGTGTAATCCTGATATCTGAGGAACCTACATGGCAGCATTGGTAATTTTGTCTGCGGTTCCCTGCAGTGGGGTGACCTGTGCTGGTGTAAGGTAGGCTCTGTACACTTTGTAGCCATTTCTGTTGGTGTATTTCGATGTGCAGTGGCAGCATATCCGCCTGATAAAGGATTAGTAGTGAGGGTTATGATACTCACATCCTTTATTGTTGTGCGTGCAACCTGCTTGTTTCTGTTCTCTAGCAATCTGTAAGTAACCTACATGGTTGCATTTCTAAAAGGAGTGAGCACAGCGCCTCCTCCATCTGTTTCAGGCTTGTTCTTGGGCTAGGTCATCATGGGCTGGGAAGTCTTGAAAGTCCAACTGGGAAAACTTCCAGTGGGATTTTTAAAGAGCAAAGAGAAGATCAGGAATTGAAAACCCAGGGAAATAGCTTTCTTTTCAGGAAGGACATGAATACAAAAAGTGAGGTATCGCACAGACAAATATACAGTGATTAGTGAGCGTGGTAATCCAAAGGCAAGGAAGTGTGCTTCTAAAGTACAAGAAAGTCTTCATAGGTTGAGATTTTCAATAACAGCTGTTAATGCAGAGACGAGCTTTTTACTTCAAGATTTAAACCCCTAAATACAGCAGCTGAAAGTTCAGCACCAGAAACTCCTATAGTTTTTCTTAGCTAAGTGTGTGTAGATTCAGTTACTTCATACTTTTTACTCAGTATTTCAGGTAAAATTAGGGGGGGAGGAAATGTTAAAAGCTTAGGTTTTTTTTTTTTTTTTTTTTGCTGCTTAATATAAATTGCTGGTTGTTTATGTGTTTTAAAACAACTCCAAATTTGTGTGTGTGTGGAAAAAATTATCCCTTGGATACCTTATAGTGAAGTTGTCAAAGACTTGGGGAAAAATGTGGGAGGTAGAATAGATTCCTGGTAACAGTAATACTATGATACCTGCACATAAAATACTTTGAATTAATGATAATCTGGAAACTCTGCATCTGTTCTTTCATGTTTCATTTTGTCTCCAAGGCCTGTTTATGCTACAATGTGTGCTACCTTAGAAGAAATATATGTGTGAACCTGCATAGGTGTTTGTATGTTGTCTTACATATGCACATAAACACACAGTATGCATTACGTATTTATTCCCCACAGAAGACTAGATCCTAGGAATGGGAAGAATCTGGATCTTACAAGAGTTTAGTGCATGTGCAACTTGGTTTCAGTGGCAGATCTCAATGGAATAAAGTAATGCATACATAGAACTGTTTCCAGTGTATGACCTCATTGTTAGAGGAGTTGTAGCGTTGTTATTCTGCTTTACAAAAATCTAACTTCCTTGGTTAATTTTAAGTAGCTTGTTTACTCTAGCCACCTAAACCTTGAAATATTTGTTGAACGTTGTAATCCACTCATCTTGAACATTTTTTCCTCTTATTTTCAGTGAATTTACTGGACTCACGGACGGTAATGGGGGATCTAGGATGGATAGCCTACCCAAAAAATGGGGTAAGTCTCTGTTGTTGGTTGCTATCTCTCTTGCAAATTAGACTAATCGTTTCCATTTGGAAAGTAGACTACTGGGTTTAAAAACTCCCTGGAGTGGTTTGTCAGCAATGGAGGGAGAAAAATAAAACAACAAGCTGTGACTGGAAAAATGGAGCTGTGTGGCTAGGGAATTGATTTATTTATGCAGTGGAGCCAGCCACAAGTTTTAAAAAAAACCCATAAGTCAACCCCTCGCTCCTTCCCTCACCAAGAAAATCCATGAGGTTATTTAAATTTTTTTAAACTATAAATTCCTGCTCTCTTTGAGCCTTGTGGGGCAAATGTGCAACACAATTTCCTGGAAATCTTTTTCTGAAACACAGGCCCTGGGACGTTACTGTTAGATTTAAATAAGCAGGGCAGTTTAGAAACACTTCTCAGGCCCATGATAAAATTCTGAGAGCTGATAAAACTGGAACAGGAGCTGAGTTTTAAACACCTTGAAGAGCCTCTGTCACTTACCATTACCTATACTGAGAGCTGAAAGAACCTGGTTTCCTAATTTCATACCTGAAATAGTGTTGGAGTTTAGTTGCATTAATACCCTCCATTGTGTTTGCCTGGCCTGACTTACATCATGTGAGCAGTCATTGCTGTGACTCTGGCTTGTCTAGGGCATCCTTAATGCTGTACTGTAACAGAACTTTGGTACAGTCTTGAAATGTTGACTTATTCACAGTGCTGAGTGTTCCTGTCAGTTCCTGGGAGCCAGGAGCACCATCTGAGGTGAGAAATCATTCCAACACAGAAATGCTGCATGACTGAGCCCTCTAACAGAGCAGCTCTCAGGAATGTGTTATTCCAGAGCTTTAGTCACCAGCTGAAATGGGCTGCAAAACTGTTCTGGGCTCCAGTTGGATTGTCATAAAAATGGTGGCAGTGTTTATATGAAATGCAGCCAACCCTGCATATATATATGTATATTACAGAGTGAATGACACAGTGGCTTTCCATGTGTTCTGTGTGAATGAAAGATGGTAGAAATGGCAACTTCACTCAGACAAGCTGCATGGCAGTGATGTAAAAGCTACATGGGGAGCTGACTTTATCCTCAGCTTAGTTCAAGATCTAATCCTGTTGTGGTCAAAGTCTGTAACAATATTTTTTTTTTAATCTATTAATTTAAAGCTGAGAACTAAACTTGCCCCCCTTGCATGTGTGAGCATCAGAATAACAAAGCAGTGCTAGGTGTGCTAGCATCATGTGTTAGTGCCATGGCACGCTACGAAGATCCTGATGTCCACTTCTTAATAGAAGATTTTTCCTTTTTGAGCACCTCTTGGTATTTTTCCTATGGTATAAAGCACAGTTGCTGTATATTCCAATGTCCTGACAGGAATATCAGTATTAAAATAACTCGTCCTGATGAGTACAGAAGACTGCTGAGTCTGTATAGGTAGATGAGTAAATGTAAAGCTAAATATCCCATGCAAACGCCTCAGTTGTATCTTTTAATAATTTAGAGAGACCTTTCTACATTTACAAGCTCAGTTTCCAAACAGCACTTGGAAGTGCACTCATGAATGCCAAATGAATGGTTACTCACTCAATAGGGAGATTTATTTTTTTTTCCTTCCTTAAATTAAGTTCCACAAATAAAAAGTGAATCAGGCAGTTGGGTTTGAATTTCCAGAGATCTCCTCTTAATCTTCTTTGTTTTCATGGGGTATCATAAAATTTTAGGAGGTCAGTCCAGTTGTCTGGGTTTTTTTGCCTAATATGGTTGCAGTATTTTGCAAGTACTTTCCAGAGTTACTTCCCTAACTGCCTTACCTGCTCTGCACTCAGCTGTGCTGCACTCATGCGCTGTTTACTTAGTTTTTTAAAAAGATCTACCTTGTAGGAAGATTTAAAGTCATTCACTTCAGGATCTGAATTTGTAAAAGGATGACATCAGAGATACGAAGCTATTTCTTGAGGTATTATCATGCAAATTTGTTATTTCAAGATGTCCTCTTAGGGAAAATCTTGGAAGGCCTGTGTATCTGTCTGCATCAAGGAAAGGAGCAGAAATGTCATAATGTGTCACACTTTGCAACACTATAGTGTGTAGATACAGACCATGTGCTGAAATAAGCTTTTTGATGCGTGGTATTTTATTACTGTTATTAACAGTATTCTGTAGAGTCTAGTCATGCATGATAGCAGTTCAATGGTGATACAGTTCCAGCTGAAGATACATTAACTTTTGAAGTATGCTTTGACTCTTCTAGTGTTGCTGCTTCTCCACTTGATTTTTATTATGAATCTTAAGGAAACAGTGTTTTTCCTAGGACTGCATCTGCTGCAAGTAGGAGATTGCACCAGGAGCACATCTGCTGTTAAAGAAAGCAAGTATTTAGTCTTCATAGTTGTATGTGAGTGCCTGGGAGAAGTTATCTGTATATTACAAAGGTTCAAGCTGGTAGGTTTTCAAATCAGATTTCCACGTTTATAAAAAAAACCGAACAAAACCACCCTCAACCGAACACAAATCCCACCAAAACAATGGGGGTAAGATACCCAGTCAAGCCAAAATAGTGCTTTTGGCACATCTTGTGTAGGTGTTGTAGTCTAAATTTTTATTATAGCGGTGTGTCATGGTAATTTTTGTGTGTTAAAGCTTTAAGACATTCCATGCTCCAGGGAGGTCCAGCCGCCTTTATTTAGCCTGTTGCTCACCCCATTTTTGGTGAACATAGTGGGAAAGTGTTATCTAATTTGGGAAATGAAAGCAGCAGTGTTTGGGAAGAAGACTGATCCTTGCAGGCAGATGAGTTTTAGAGGTAGATCTGTTTCATGTCTGTAATTCCAGATAAAGCACTGCAGCTGCTTTAGTCCCCACAAGATCAGACCTATATCTACTGATAAACAGTATACAGCAACTCATCTTGTGAATAATAGGTTTTAGGAGAAGGGACACTATCAGTTTAGCCGAGGGCTGTCTCGGCTAGGTGCTTATTTGGTGTAGGTTTTGGTGTTGTGCATGATCCCTGTAACCTGGGTGTCCTTCATTTCCCCCATGCACATCGAAGGTAAGAAAAATCCCCCTCTTCCCTTTATATGGAGCATTGAGTGACCAGTGGAAATGAAATTATGTGCCTGAAATAAGCTGTAGCCAAGCAGGGGTTGAAACAATGTCTAGGAGACATTGTGTGAAGAACCAGCTTTTGTGCAGCAGAAGGTGCTTTCTTCTTTCTGCTTCTTTGCTCTGAAAGATTAATGTGGTAGTGTGGCTTCCTGGCTGCCCCAAGAGGCCTTCTCTGGCTGTGTGGGTTCATCAGCTTGCAGCAGTTGAGCAGTCAGCTCTTAAACCTGCAGTTATAGCTATTAGAGTGTGAGCAAAGTCTTTCTGAGGTCTGCATGGCCATGGAGCTCAGAAAAAGGCCTCTCCCTGCCAACAGTTTGTGGTCAGCTGCCACTTTTTCAGCTCAAGTTGGGAATCGATCCTGTTATTATCTGCCAAAGGGACAATCCAGACTTTGTGTTGCACTCATGGAAGTTTATTTTAACCTGGAGGAGGTTATTAGAATTACCAGAGGCTATATCAGAAAAGTCTGGTCCCTCTTGAGTAGTAGGAAGCCTTCCAAATACATCAACAAAGCCAGTCAGGCTTTTTTATTAAAGCTATGCATTAAAATACAGAGGTCTGCAAAGTCTTTTACCTCTGGACTGATTCCTGGGGTGTTGCTTAGGATTATCTGAATTGGACACATCAGAGGCTTACATGTGTGTTATATATGGCTGTGACACTGACTAGCTCTGACCTACAGAAACTGCCTGCACTTGCCTGTGCTAAGCATGTATTTTTATCATATGGAAGTACACATAAGCCTAAATACAGGGTGTTTGCAGGCTGTATCGCCTCATCTCCTCCCTTGTTTTTGCAGGAGACTCAGTGATGCATTTTGGCTCCCTGAAAAACGATAGCTGGGGAGAATCTCCTATCAGCCTGTGCTGTTCAGTTGTATTTGGTCTGGCCATGTAAAAACATAACCACTTTTAACAATATCCAGATAATTGCAAAACTGATTAAAATAAATGTTTTCTTTTGCCTGACTTGATTTATTCAGTGATTATGTCTGATTTTTGTTCCAGCGGCTGTAATAGCACTGATTTACTTGTTTCAGACCCTCCTTCCTTTCAGGGTGTATTCTAAAACTTCTTTACAGCTTAGAGGAACTCTTTCTGTCCCAGTTAGAAAACTGCACACCTGCTTTGCTTTTGTGTAATGGGGTCCTCTCCCATCTCCTCCACTTCCCATTGATTTTCCTGCTCTTCCTGTAGCACAGAACAGGAAAGCCTCTACAGTACCTGGGGAATTGGCCATGTTCTGTGTCTCATGGCAGAGCTCCATGCGCTGGGAATTTCTTTTTAGGCTCAGACAGGAAAATAGGCATGTACTAAGAAACCTGGTCCTGTGGAGATGTTACAATCCTTTATTCATTACAGAAAATGAGGCTAGATGACTTCTTGTGTGTGAGTAGCGAGAGGGAAGATAATTGCCCCTGCTTTTGGTGGTTAATAAGGACAAATACCAAAAGTCAGAGGATAAATTCAGCCAGATTGATTCTTCAAGTTGATTCTCATTTATGAAGGACATCTGTGGGTTTGGTATTTTTTTTGTCCCCTCCCCAAGCAGCATTTCTGGCTCATTCTTTTGAGCACAGGTACATGAGGGTGCCTCTGAAGTTAAAAATAACAGTGGTTTAGATTACTCAGCATGGTTTGTGAATAGATTCATGTTGCTCTATGTCAATCTTAGTTCAGATAGAGATTTTTATACAAGAATCCTGGATTGGAGGCAGTGTTTGCCCTCGGGGACAGGAATAAAATAAAGGGGGAGGGATGTGGTGTAGTGAAAGGAGAAGGAGGATTCCTGGCACCATTGAGCTGTGTCATGTAGCTATGATTATAATTGGCATTTTTGGGGCAGTACTTCTGGCAGCCTGTAATTGTTTGGTTTTTTGGGGTTTTTTCTC